CCCGGGTGAGGAGGTCAGCCCCCAGCTCCGCCGGTGACTGACTGCAACTCGAATTAAAGTATTACAACAAACAGGAAGTGTTTTCCTGCCATTCCAACAGTTTAACTGGAGAATTTGCCCCCAGCACAGGCAGGATCAGAAGTTCTGATACAATGACCTGGTATGAAGTCACTCTCCTCAGTGCTGTGTTCATGGCATAGCCACCCCACTCTTGCTGAAAGTCACCTTTAGGTACTGAGACATTGCCAAAGAGATGGGCCAGGGGACTGTGACATTTCCACATTTCCTTTTTTGACAAAATCAGGACTATCCCCAGTTGGCAAATACTATGATCTCCGAGCAATGTGCTGACTGTTTTGTCTGTAGGAGATATCACAACCAAACTGCCCTTGCAAGGGATATGTGGGAGCTGCAAGAAATGGCAACAGCCATTCAGAAGGTAACAGCCATACCTCTGTGTAGACAAGTACACTCAAGTGTGGCAGAGCATCTGTGATCACTCGTCCTTTGATTTTGGATGGATTTAAAAGCAAGTTCTTTGACGACTTGTTATAACAGATCTTTTGGTATTTTGCTGAGAAAGGTTTAGCTTTTTAATGCTAAATTCTCAGGTGGTTGCAATCAGTTCCCCTTTCAAACCTAGACAGATTCTGCACTGCAGTAGTATCTTAACTTTCTAATTTCTAAAACACATTCAAGCTAGTGGGAGTCTACTGTCTGATCTCAGTACTTGCTGGTCTGGACTGGTCCCACTGGCTCACGTTTGAAACAAACAGCAGCCACCTCGGCTGAATCAAAACCATTTGGTAGCTATTTCCTACATCAGATAGTCAAATCTGAGATTTTGCTATTTCCATCAGGTTTTTTACAACTTTTGGCAACCATCTAGGGCGGTTTCAGTGAAACAAGGCTACCCACATTCAATTTTTTGGGTTCTGCCAATTTCCTCTGTGTGAGTCTTTGGCAAACCAGGCAGTTCAATGTGGTTACATGGGTTTTACTAATAAATGCTGGACAGCATTAAAAGCAGAATTGACTTTTTGGCATAGTGGGTCACAGGGCAGAAACCAAGTGTAATTTCCTAGTGACGATATTTATTACAATGACTGGATATTTATTTGTTGTTGTTATTACTCAGTAAAACTTGTGTCAACGGCGCAAAATCCTCTACAAGACATGGAAATACACACTTTGCCCTGAAAGCTTGGAATCTGAAATAAGTGTTTCTTGTGTGACTTATTTGAACACACTCTTCTGTAATAAAAGACTGTAGTGTGTATTCACCAGACGTAGGGAGGATCTGAATGTTTTGTTGACCATGTACCTTTACATTTCTCAGGCTCTTTGTGTGCAAAGTGCCACTGCCCAGTTGCCTTAGCACTGAAGTATTTACAAAGGATACATGTTACTCTGGTTCTTTCAGAGATTCTGTTTCTACTATCTTTGCTTTCAAAATTATGATTTGAAATCTAAAAAAAATATTGCTTTATACTCAAAAACCCTGATTTGCTCTTTTCATAACAAAACATAAAACTGAAAAGCTGATATAAAGCAGAGCAGGACAATTGTCACTATATGAGGAATCAGCCAAGAAATTTACACTGGTAACTCCACCCTTCTGCTGCAATCCCTTAAATATGTCAAATGAGATTAGACCAATACTGTGGTAATACTTGTGCCAACAATCAGAACTAACAGACATTTTTGCAAAGGCAGAATTCATACGCACAAGATTTGTTTTTAATCTGCACAAATGGAGTAGTTAATTTTATACCCTCCTACTGGATGCTGGAAAGCTCTGCTCTCAGACTCCCGGTCTCCATCAGTACTGTTTGTCCCCAGATCTCATTGGTGCAGACCGGTCCCAGTGCAGAAGGCAAGTATAAGAGTCACAACCCTTACAAGTATTAGTTAGGGGTCTCTCAGGGTCAGGAGACTGTGCTGACATTTTGAACCATGTGGTACTGTGACTGAGTACCTCTCCTTAAGATAACTCCACAGATAGCAAGTCAGAGGTTCCTCAGTCTTCATTGCCCCAGAAAACCCACAGGCCTGTGCAAGGACCATTACTGCCATCCACACTGAAATGAATTAAGGTTCTGAATTAAGGTTTCACTGTCAATTGCATTTGAACATTGCCTAACTTTTAAAGGCTTGGCTTTGCAAGCTTCCTAATGCTCCTGTAATACCGGTAGCATTTCCTGTGTTCCTGAAAAGGACAACTGTCAGTGCAAGATCATGCAGCATCACAGCACCTCTGTGGGTCATCAGCCATGCTGACACCTTTGTGTGCCCAACACAGACTTCTGTCCCTTTTACTCAAAGAGAAGCAGCAGCACAGGACTGTTATCCTCCATCTAAATCATCAGAGGGGGATGACTGTTGGAATTTGGATTATTCAATGGATTCATAAGACCACTCCTAAGGCTATTCAGTATTTACACAGTTGTTTCAAGCATATTTCTACAAAGCAGTGTGATTTACTAAGAGCTAGCTCTTACACAATGAGCTAAAATAAAGCAATTAATTAGTTAAACTTGCTTAAGCTGACCACAAGATCAATCTAGCAACTTCAGAATCATCTTTGACTGAATTCAGACACCTCTGATATAATGGTCCCACTTGCCTTTTCTTAATTTAGTGGCTGCCAGACTAATGAATTGACCCTTTCTCTCTTGGTCATGTGGCCTTTTCACTACCTCCTCCCAACTGTAAAATTTTTGTCATGTAACTACAAGAAAGCCTGCTCTCCTCCCCCAGGCAGGCAGCTGCTGCTGTGTCCAAGGACACTCGGCTCCAGTAGTTTCTGTACCACAGGCTGGGGCAGACAGCACAAGAAGCAAATTCTTTGCTGGCTGAGCCAATATGAAGGCCAGCCTCAGGGAAGCTCTGTTCCACTTCCAGCTCTGCAAGTCAGGATGTCCCAGCGAGCACAGCCCGTTGGGCCCCTTTCCACCCACATACCCCTCTGCTCTGCCCTGTGCGGGGCTGCTTCCCACAGCTCTTCCCTGCTACTCCATTCCCTTCCCCTTTGCCTATGCCTGGCCTCCACTTTCAGAGTTGGATTGCTTGTTCCTTCCCCAGGCTGCCTCTCCTTTCTTAACTTCCAATAGGGTCTCCAGCTTTGGTTCCCTACATCAGGTCCTAGTTCAGTCTCTTACCTGGTTCTTCATGTCACCACCTATCCCCCTGACTTCCTTCACTTTTCCTTCTTGTTTCTTGTACTGGCAAACTGAATTCTGCCAGTTCCTTACCAGCCAGTCTCAGCATAAAACTCTAATTCCCTGTTTCTCTTTCTTTGTGTATTTCAATTTCCCTCTATCCCATCTCAAATCTCCAAGTTCCCTGTCCTAGGTTTTTATCTTTTCATCCACACCTCAGTCTATCAGATCTTCCTGCCCTATCCTATCCCTTTTCCTTTTGAATAATTGCTTTATCAGAAGTTTGGCTTCAGTCTCTTAGCCAAAGTTTGTAATGGGTCTCTATTCTGGGAGAGAGAAGCATGTTTTGAAGGCTGATGGCACAACAAAGCCCACTTCATTTTGTGACTATCACACCCATCACAAAAATAGTGTATGCCTTTGTCATTCTTTTCTATCTTCCCCCTCATTGTCACTTTGGCTCCACTGCCTTTATTATGAGTATACAAAGACAGGGAAGGCTGGACCAGTTGGCACAACTCAGAAGCTGAAGGGTACAGAGTAAGGCACAGAAACCATGGCTGGAGGATGCACGTGGACACTCAGAGCCCTTGTCAATGTCTAGAAGCTGACACCAAGCTCTGTCCCATTGAAAACAGAGACTGCCTCCCCAGAGCAAAAGTTTCTGCTTGGGGCAAGGTGCCTTTGCAATACAAAGGAGGATGCAAAGAAGGAGAACCTCAAAATGTGTTTCTCTGTTGAAAGACTCAGTACAGTAAGATGTTGCTATTTTTACTCTCTGTTCCTTTTATATGTTCAGAGCCAGGTCTGCTTACTTGAAGTTATTTTTGCTTTTTTCTCCATTTTTTTTCTACAAAGCAAATGTATGATAAAAGGACGGAGTACCTATGTTCTCAAAAACAAGCAGCATGATTTAGGGTTGTAGAACTTTGTGTAAAAAACAATTTTTGTCCTGCCAGCTTCAACTTTCAACTCATTAGCCACCTATCTATGTCTGTTAGCAATTTTTTAAGCGGGCTTCCTAGGTCTTACAGGAGCTCTTCCAGATGGAACAACAGGACATATCAACACTAAAACAGCACATCCAAAATGTCATGCATGAAGTTATTTTCTCTTACTTGTATGCACACAAACTTCTTCCAGTATGCACTGTGTCCTAACTGCCCCTGGGCCAGCAGTTCTTTGGTTTATTTAGTTCAAGAGAAAACTGCAAATCCAGCAGGCTAATCTGGAAGCTAATCTTCAGTTATACAAATGGAGAGTCAACCAGTTCAAACAATTTATCTTTCAAAGTCAACACGACAAACAAACAAGCAAGAGCTTTTTCATTCACAACAGACAATAAACTGTGGTTTTTTAGTGTAGCTATTCTACACAGGATAGTATCAGCTGTTAGAAACTCCTACTTTTCTCTGCAGTGAAAAGACAGAGCAAATTAAAGGCTTCAGTTGCCTGTACTTTGAAAGGGGAGAAAGGCCAGAATGAAAAACTCAGTTAAACTGAAACAGATGCTGATTATTCCAGCTCCAATCAGGGCATCCCTAAAGAAATCAACCTTTCTCAACTTCATTCTTCTGGTACTTGCAAATCCATTTCTGACATCGCAGGGTAATTCAAAAGGACAAAGCAGGATCCAACAGGAAATTCTGTGCTTCTCCGAGCTGAGGTTTGCAGCACCTGAATTTCAGTAGGCAGTGGGTCTACCAAGAACTAACCATGTCCAGGACTAGTGTAACTCCCACAATTAAGGGGCAAGAGGGGATGGGTATTCACAAAAGCTAGTTTAAGTCTACAGAGGTTGAGCTTTGCCTGTAGTCAATAAGATAAGACTATGCTTAGGCACTCTGAATAATATTCTGAAGAAATCACTTTTTCCATTGACCTCATTCAGACCCTGGGGAGTTGAGCTTTCCAAGGGAAAAGCCACTTCCTCCCCAGGAAAGTGCATTCAAGTCTAAGTGGCCCTGGGTTCCCCAGCTCTTTACATGCCACACATTGCTTTTGGACTCGGATGCTGCACAAGTGCTGTGGGTCTGTGTGCCTGCAGGTGGTACAAGGCATCTCCTACCACTGTACCTGTTTCACTTGGCTCTTGTGTCAGTCTTCTAAAACTGGCTGGCACCAATAATCTGGTATGGTGTGGCTTAGATTTCATTTACACTGCATGTTGTTTCATGCCTTCAAAGGTCCGTGAAGATTAGTACCAGGCTGACTGGTATGGCATGGTATGTAGGAATGCGAGTGTAGCCCAAGTTTTCCTCTGCTGAACTTTATACAAGGGCATATCCTGACTGTTCCACATAAAAGAGGGTGCAGGCTTCCACTTCCCTGCGTTCCTCTCTGACCTTCCAGTTCTCAACAGTCACAATGGAGTGGCAGTGTAGCTCATCTTTCTAAGGGAGAGCCTGACAACAACCAGTTCTGTACTGGATCATTTTCAGCTGATAAAGGTGTGAAGCCAAAGGAAGGAGGCTCCCACAGTATACAAGAAAGGGGAAAGGTCTCTGGGAGTGGTGGCTTCAGGAAGGCAGAACAATTTTTATTACAAGCTTTTTTTGAGATTGCTGTAAACAACTCAACTGGGTCCTAAAAGTGACTGGGAGTGGCAGCACGTCCATGCTGAGCTGTGTAAAACAGCTGCCCCGTGCCCAGGCACGTATCACTGCCAGCAGGTTAACCAAGGCCACAGGCAGAGGCAGTTTTACTTGGGATTACATCTTGTCACTGCTGCAAGCTCTGCTGTCTGAAAGGTGGGAGAAGATGAAGCAGCTGAATAGAAGAGTCCCCAGGAAAACAAACAAACAAACAACCCACATTCACATTCCCACAAACAGAAAAACATTCTTAAAAGTAACTTGGGAAGAAAAAGTTGAGTTTGAATAAAATATTTGCCTGTTGGTCTTAATAGCTGCAGCTCTGCTATTTTCTCTTCCTCTTCCAGGCTGTCAGCAGGGATTGAGTGTTCTCCTAGAGCTAGGGATGGGTTTCCTGAGTGGTGACAAATAGCAGTAAAGCCTGAAGTGAATTCCAATCCTAATATAAATTGCTCTTTCCTGCAGAAAAGAGAGGGATGAAAAATAAAACAAATCAGAAAATAGTATGTAATGAGTAATCTTACAGTTCAGCTAGAGGAAGTGAAAAGAACCACCCCAATAATGATGCTGGCTCAGTTAGGGAGCCAGGCATTATAGGGAGTACACCTGTAGAGGAAAGTTTCAGCTGAGGATTTCTAAAAAAAAAAAAACAAACCTGAAAACCAGATCATTCAGGTGCAAATAGATCTTCCAAAAGGACATCATGAAACTCTTTCTGCCCAGAGCCATGAAAAGTAGAGCAGCATGAGTGCCAGCAACCCTAATACTTATTATTATTGTTGTATTGCAGAAGAGCCTTGATCTGGGTGCAGGGGGCTGTGCAAGAAGTGTTTAGATTCAGAGGTGGAAGACCAGAAAAATGACATACATTTGTCACAGACACAGGGAGCATGAGGAAAGAAAAGCAGTCAGTGTGCTGCCAAGTTTTTTTATAGGCTATACGGACATTGAGAGTGTTGGAGAGAGCTCTGAAAGATTATTTTTTCAACACACATTAATAAGGGGCTGGTTGCAAGGCTGTGAGGAAGCACAGACATTTGAAATGGTAGCAAGTTGGCAGTGGAACTGGTCATCACAAGCTGATCTCAGGAAAGAGCCGACATCCCGGTAATAGTCTGGAACAGATGAACAGGGATGAGCTAGGGAAAGACAGGTCTTGAAAAGGAAGGCATTTGACACACACAAAAAAAGAGAGAGTTAGTAGACAGAAAAGAAAGAAGCAACACAGAGCAACAGGCTAAGAACAGTCCTGCATTGTGAGGACAAGGGCTTAGTTATTCAAGAGTTTTCTTTCCCTCTCTTGTTTCTCGGGGGGAGGAGTAGTGTTTCAAGGCAGAATAATACAATCATTTGTCTGTGTCAGGAAATTTATGGTTTGACTTTACCATGTGTTAAAATATTGATTCTCTTTCTAACATATGCTTTAGATATTGACAATAGTTTTTCTATACAGAAGACTGACTTCTGCATACAAAAGGCAGGACTTCATCATAGGATCCAGCGAAGCTGAGTAAAAACAAAGTGATGTAAGTGAAGCACAAGTCTCGAATTTTTTCCACTCAATTAAATAAAGATAGCAAGAGAGACACTGAGCAGTGTGTGGCGGTAAGAAGCTGGAATAATTAAACAATAATATGACAGACGGTGCATTTACGGGCAATTACAGCATGCCTCTGCTGGCACTCCAAGGCACAGGGCCAAAGACTTAAGCGATTCAAACCACACAAGTAGAGCAGTAACCTCCTAGAAATGCCAGGATAGAGCATTTGGCCTGGGAGCCCAGGATGGGACTTACACACAGTCAGGTCTCTGCATTTACCAGGTTTTAGCAGGAAGAGCAGCCTGTCCAAAAGCTGGTTTTGTGTCCCTTGGATAATAGATTTCCAGACACTTTTACGTATGTAGCAGTGAAAGAAAAATCATCACACTGAATAGGGTCATCTCCTTCTTGTCTTTTGCATACAGCTTGAGGATCCCACTGCAGCAAACAACAAATTTAAAATAAGTATATTCTGAAAGCTCAACTAAAAGAAATCACTTGTCTGTCAACTCCCTTTCAAAAACAAGGACTGGGTTAAACACAAGCTATCAAGCTTCAGGCTCTGAAGGCATTTGGGATTCTTTGGGATTCCCTCAGGGAGTCACACCAGGCTTTCTGTTCCCCGCCTTACCCCACCCAGTAAACCCAAACCACCTTCCTCCTCCAGTCTCTGAAGTTGGGCTCTGTGTCCCATGGTACCACTCAGCAGCTTAAGGAGACAATTGCATGAAATCTGCACCTGTATTTCTGAAAGCATTGGTGTGCATTGTTCAACACAGTCACAGTCATGCTGGCACCCTGCACTTCTGATCTTGTCAGCACATATAGAGGTGAAACACGCTCTAGATTTTTAGAAAAGAAGAAAAGAGAGAGAGATCTGAGTGGAAAGTAAACAGAGATCAGGTGCTGTTAAAAGCTTCTTAAACTGTCAACAAAGTATGTACTTAAACTCAGGAGAGAAAGTCACCTTCAAGATGGGTAGTTCTCATCAAAGCGGCTTTATTTTTAAACACCCTTTGTCTGGAGCTACATGATTATACAGGACTCTGAACCAAATTTTTGTTTTTTAAAGTAAGGACTTGATTCCAGACTTTCTTGTTATATGGAAAACATGGAAAAAGTGAACTTGAAAGGCTCAAAAAGCAGAAGGAAAATAAAAAGCATTTAAAATGTACAGAGACAAAAACCAAGCCTCATAAACAAATGGGACTGGCAACATTGCTTCACCTAAATGCTTTTTTCTTCTACTTAGTAGATGTTTCTCAAGACTTGAAATAAGTGTTGTTTTGTATCTGCAGGGCTTTCAGCAAGTGGCTGCCAAATTACGAAACACTCTGGATTCCAGCAATGCACATCTCTGCTGTCTGCTGCACTCGGAGTATCTGGGAAGAGGAGGAGGAAAACAAGCTTATCATTTATAAAATTATTGCTGGTTTTGTGGTTGTGAGGCTCTCTGCAGTGTACAAGAATAACTTGTTTGTGACATCAGTAAAACAAGGATGTGCAACCGAGAGCGTGTTGTCCTCTCCATGGATACCACACTCACGTTTTCTCTAACACTGGGTTTTATCTGAAGATCAAGTCTCAGGACTTGGGAAGCTGCATGCCACGGGGACACAGCTTGAGACCTGGGCATCATGATGGCTGTAGTCTAGTTCTGATTTCTCCAGCCACGTGGGGTGACACCGAGATAATGCACTGACTCAGCACAGACCCACTGCAAGTGCACAGTGCTTTTTCCCAGATTGAAAGGTTTTGGCAAATAACTTTCTAGCTATTTCTGGAAACTGGAAAGGTCCATGAGAGAAATGAGTGTATGTTCAAGCACATGTTGATCCTAGAGACCAAAAATGGCAAAAAAATGGGGTATAACTTCAGCATAGGGAAAGATTTGATCCCTCATCTGTAATTAGAAAAGTCACAACTTTTCTTCTTGCTTCTTTTCCAACAAAACAAGGGGAATTATGTCCTCCATGACATGCTTCTCCCTCTTAAGTATAGCTAATACCACTCTAGTGAATAAATCAGCCTTACTCAAAACTAAACTCAGTACTGTTTTTAAGGCACTTTGAAAAGTAGGATATTAAGCTGCAGACAATGCCTATGCCTCTCTCTCTCATCCAGACCTCCCAGTCCTGAATGTGGTAACTGTGGGGTTTTTTACCAACTGAGAGAGGTGTCTTAAAAGTAGACTTACAAGAGACTGCTGAAAACAACCTCCACAGTCACGTTTGTCCCAGTACTATCAGCTTTTTAAATAAGCTGCCAAGCTGGCATTTGAGTAACTAAAAAAACGGATTTAGTATAGGATGCCAGACTCCACTTCTCAGTCACTAAAATGCTCATGTAACAAATTGAGCTGACCATTGTTTCTTATCACCAAGCAAACAAACCCCGTTGGCAGGAAAACTGCATTTGGAAAGTGATTCCCTACACGACTGAGACAGGCTCCAAACGCCCGTCCTCACATAATGCTGGACTCCAGGCGGTCATTGGCACTGTGAAGGACACTGGCAAAAAAACTGGCCTCCAATTTGATTTACAACACCTTGCTTTCAGTTTATTTCTGTTGCTCCACAGGCCGTATTTTTTACCACAGGAATAACTCTTGGTTCCACAGTGTGGAATTTTCAGTCATAACTCATTGTCTTTTATGTTCACTTTCAGCCATAGCCATATCTAAGATGCTGAATTGTTTTTTAAAAACAAACAACTACCGAATTACTGATCTGCAAATTGCACTTACTGTTTAAAATGCCCTGCTCTACAAACATCCATCATAAATCCGTCCCTAGTCCTTTCCCTTCCAGTCAGTACGAAATACTAATTGGCACATGGACTAACACATCAGACAAAGAATCTTTTCCCATTGAAATCAGTCAGAATGCTTCTGAGCACTTCAAAGAGTAGAGAAGGATGTCCCAAGCGAGCACATCCATTTTACAGCGTCATCCATGCCAGTTTTCTGACCTGAGAGTGGAATATGTGAGTAACAACAAAAAGGGCCCATTTCTGTGCTACCCGGGACCAACCCAGAAGTGTTATCTTTGGCCAGCTCCACAAAAGGCAGGAAGGAGGAGACCCACTCTCACCCTCTGTGGGTTCTGCTGGCCTCCAATCCAACATCAGGCGAGGCTTCCAGCGAGGTGAAAGCGGGTTACCTGAGGGACTGTCAGCTTCCTACTCTAGGTTGCTTAGAGGAAAAAGGAAATAGTTCTGGAACAATGCAGACAGAGACTTTAAATAACTATCAGAGAGGTGTCGCTTACTGGAACATAAATGTTTTATCACAGTTTTATGTCCCAGCAAACCTAAGCCTTGGATCCCACAGCTGACAGGTCCAGCATGGTGCCTAAGCTTGCAGAGGGGAGCATGCCGACAGCCACCATCAAGGCAGAATGGAAAAGAATTATTAGCAAAAATAATTTTCTCCCTCATTTTACTCATCCACACCAGGCTTTGTGCATAGCAAGAAGCCAGCTCTCAATCCTAGAACAATTAAAGGAGTTGTCACCACCTGCCAGGGCCAGGTTAGCAGGATTACCAGCCTGCACTGCCAATCCTCAAGGCACACACTGTGTGCCGGGCACACAGGCAAGCTCATTAGCAAACTCTAAAATTACACCACGTCCCGGAATCGGGGCTTGCTGGGACATCGCAGAGGCCCAGGATAGGCAAATTCCTGTCCGCCGACACCGGGTCAAACCGCGGCTCCCCACGGGGGTTTCCCAGGGAAGCTGCTCCCAGCGGCAAGGATCTTCCAAAAGGCGAACCTATCCTCTTGGGGGGCGGGGGGATCCCGGTACGCTGGCCCATCAGGTTCGGCGACATTTAATCTCTCGGTGTTTAGAAAGACACCGGCTTTTACTGCTGTTTACATGTCAAACAGGACCTTGATTCACGTCGCGAATCCCGAGGCGCTGCCTGGAAATGAACACCGGGACGCGTACGCCCTGGCCACGCCTGTCTGCTGGACGGTGTCTGCTGAGGATTTTCTGTAAAAAAAAAAAAAAAAAAAAAAAACAACACACCATTAAAAGCGCCCAGCCCAGGTTTGAGGCACGGAGGGGAGAGTTCGGCGGCCCGCGGCGGGCAGGCAGCGCGCGCGGGCCGGGCAGGCCCGCGCAGGTGCGAGAACGGGCACCGCCCCAGCGCAGACCTGGCGCAGCCTGGGCAGGGAGCGGCATTCGGCCCCGGCGACAGCCGCACGCGGAGCCACTCCGTCCCGCCCGGCGCCTGCCCCGGCGCAGCGCCACGCCAGGGCTACAATTCCAGGCGCGCACGTGGGGGATGGCAGCCAGCGCTCCCGCTAGGCCTTACCACTCCAGCAATTCCCGGGAGGGCACGACAAGCAAAACGCGGGGCGGCGGCTCCGCGCGGGTTCGCGCTGGGAGTCTGTAGTTCTTCCGCCGCGGCGGTCCCGTAGGCGGAGCCGCCATGCGATGGGAGGAGCGCTGCGGGAGGTGCTGCCCAAGCAAGGTACGGGCCCGCAGTGCGCGGGCTCAGCCCGCCCGCCCCGGCCCGCGCTTCGCACGCACCGCCCTTCTCCCCCTCAGGACAGTTGTCGGTGAGGATCGCGGCACACCATGGTGCTGGTTGCAAGCCCAAGATCCTGCGCTTCATGTCGGTGTCGCTGGAGAAGTGGAGAAGCTGCAGCTGGGCGGCGCTGGCGAGGCGCGCAAGCACGCCGAGGGGGCCCCGGCCGGCGTCGCGGGGCCTGCGCCGGCCCAGCCCATAGCCCCGGGCGGGGGGCGCGAGCCTGGCGGGGCCGAGGCCTGGCGGGGCCGCTCTCGCGATCGCAGGTAGCGCTTTGTAACGGGGCTTGCGGATTAAAGTCTGGCCTGGACCGCAGGAGGTGGTGCTGCGCTGGGCGGGGGAGGCCGCGTGTCGGGTGCTTTTCGTGTAGAAGTTCCGCTGGTCGCTTCAAAGGCGAGGTTTTAAACGCGGCTTTAGAGGTACCAGAACCGTCCCGGGCAGGAGCTGTTCTGGGAGGGCCCCGGCAGACCGCGGGAGGAGCCAAGTTACACAACCCCACGGCTCTAAGCGGGGTTTACCAGACCCGCTTAAGGAGGGCATCGCTTGTCTGCTGGAGCACGTCGTGTTCCCGGGCCTGGAACGGCTACTTCCCAGCACTTCTGAACACCTCAAATCTGGACATGAAACTGAAAAAGACAGGAGAGGCTCCACTGTGTTCCTGTACACGAGTATTCCTTAGATTCATCTTGTTGAGCAAGGGCTTGGCAGAGCTGTGCTGTACAGACACGTTCACAGTATCTGTGCCAGCCTGGACGCTCCTACGCCAGGCACTTGTGTTTTCAAAAACAGATCTGGTAAATACTTACCATGAGTTTAATTACTCAGTGCTCTCACGCTGATTGCAATACCAAAGGGCGGTGTTAGATGTACTGCCGAATTGCACACACTTCAGAGATTTGAACACAGTTAAATTTGTTCTGTTTAAAAGAAATAAAAAGGAGGCACAAACAAGAGCTTCACAAAAAATATTTTTAATATGTTTTACCAGAACTTTTCACTTTTCCAGTTACATAGAAAAAAAAGACAAGTTCGGTACACGGGGGGTGAAACCAACCAGTGTTCTCCCCTGAAAAAGATGAATTTATCTTTATGATCCAACTCTTTATTTTCTTGGGCTCTTTAAAACAAAGAAACTTCTATTTTTTTTTCCTCCCAAAGCACAGTATTTCTTCAGCAGCAATGGAAATGGGATCACAGCAGCTCAACTTGACCCTTCTATAAAGCTTAGTATAAACAGTGATTCTTATGATGACAGCACTGTCCTGGAAAGAGCGCGCAGCAGTCGGACGTGGATGCACATGGGGAATGATTAGGTCATAAACATGGCACGTACAGAGATAGCTTATTTGAAGGCACCACCACAGCAGTGGCCAGTTGTTCTACTATTATGCCCAAAGAAAGAACACTTCTTTCTGAAATTTACAAAACTATTTAAAAAAAAAAAACAACCAAAACAACAAAACAAAACCAAAAAACCAATTTGTACCCAAAACATGTGCTTTTAAAAAAATACGAACTGTGCTAAGCAACTCTCAGATTTGGTATATTATATATGTGTATACATATATACATACACACACGGAAGAAGCATGCGTGTTTGTATATATAGATAGCTAGCTATGTTCCCTTTAAACTTGTAAGGCTTCAGGAGTCAGTTCTCACATTCAGTAGCTTTCCAGCTTAAGACGACCTCCATCTCCTTCGCTCACGAAACGCTTTCTGCCCCTGTAAGAAAGTAGAAAATATCTTCAGTAACTGAGAGTAGCATTGCTTGTTTTTTATCCCTAAGAAGAACCTTCTTGGGAGTCAAATATAAGGTGTGCAAGTTCAGCAGGGTTAGCAGTGATCACAGTATCAGCTCAACTGCTTAAAAATGCAAGTTTGAAAACCTAGGAATGGCAGTTTTCTACCCAAAACTGAAGCACAAAAGCCAAAAATGCCTCTCAGCATACTAATGGTAACTGAAATATAATCAAGCTTTTGATGCAGTGATGACTCTCAACCCTCCCACATCCCAAACTTGCAAAGCATTTGATACCAAGACACACACAAACACAGTTTTAAGAGTAAAGTTCACAAATGGAGGCTGTTCTTGATAAAGACACTAACATTTCAAGATCCAAATTTATCACAAGCTGTCAAGATGGTTTAAGAACTCTAACAAAACACCTAAACTGGAAAAGATCTGTCGAATAAATAGTATTCCCAATGCATAAAACTATGAATAATAGTTCTGACATCACATTTAAAAATTTACATGTATTTACGTGTATTCCCCACAGGAAATGAAACTGGTTAATTGTATTGTGACCATTAAGGAGAAAACAGCAGACTGATTAGCTACAGTTCAAACAGAATTAATTATGCCATAAGTAAGTAAACAACAACAAACCAAAAGCACTATACAAACCACATGACAGATATGAGGGATTGGGTGTATAGAACTTACCTCACATTAGTGTCCTGACAGAAAGATTAGAACTGGTTGTCTCATCTTAGAACTCTATTCATGCTGTTTGGTAAGTTTAAACCATTTTTAAAGGATCTTTTGGGGGGGGGGATTGCCCCACTGTAGCTGACAGTTTTCCACTGTCACCTACATGGATCATTGTGACACCTGAATCTTCCATCTCGGTGCTGCACTCATTTCTATCAAGCAAGTCAGCAATCCAGAGGAGAGGCAGCCCTCATCCTCTGGGGAGCACTGAGGTGCTGCCTGGGACTCACCAGAGGCTGACTCCCCTCAACTATTTATCCCAGCCTCCACATAACAGGTTTCACATCAGTGCAGCTTCTTAATAAACTTTTTACCAATTCAACTCTCTGTCCATCCTCCACAGTTTCCACTTCCAATCTGTAATACTGTGGTCACAAGATCCTGCTTTCTGTTACCCACCATAGGAAGAAAGCAGTGCCTTCGCCATCTACAATGGAACAAGTACCTTGAAGGGCAGAGGTCTCTCAGTGGTTTGGAGATTATTCCAGCCTGAAAGCATTCCTCTACAAACCGCTCAAGCACGGAATAGGAGTGTGGCACATCCAGGTTAATGTCTGGGATTTCACAGTAAACTCGTTCATAGCCCTGCAGTACAAGGATTCAAATAATGATCTGGTTATTCTACAATTTTATTACAATTTTTAAATACGCTTCTGCACTCAGAGGATTTATTTTTCAATATGGTTTCACACATACCATGGACACTTTCAACAAACCTGAAGCAGAGCAGCTGCCAGTCAGTGAAAAAACAAGGTATAATACCAGCCAATACCAGGGTATTGTGCAACTACCTACCTTCATAAAAACACCAGCTGAGTTTTTAACTTCTTTAGAAGTCAGAAATCCAGACAGTACAAAATCTGTACGTTAGCCTGGCTGCTACCACATGGGTAGTAACATGGGAAGAAAATTTGGTATGTCTTCCATGTAAATGAACAAAATGTGGCCACAAATCACCACCACAAGTTTATGGAGCAAGAGAAACAATGGTTACAACCAGGTGACTTCATCACAGCTGGGTAAATTCTGCCCTAAGTCCTGGTGTGGTACCCAGTTCTGTGCCCTGGGACAGGTTGGAGAAGACCTCTAAAATCATTGGGTCCAACCATTAACCCAGCACTACCAAGTCCACCAAGTGCCCCCTCTGCACGTCTTAAATCCCTCCAGAGATTCCCTGGCAACCTGTTCCAATGTTTGACAAACCTTTCGGTGAGGAATATTTTCCTAATACCCAATCTAAAGCTTCCCTGGCACAACTTGAGGCCATTCCTATAAGCAACAAATTATTTGTATGGGATACAGAATGGCCATGGAGAATGCAAAAAAAAAAACCAAACAACCTAGCAGTCAGCAATAGACTGCAAGTAGTACTTAAATGAAGGTAGAATGAAGGTAGAAACTACAGAAATTTTGGAAGACCTTACACAGAATTCTCTATGTGCCATACTCACTCTTTTCATTTGGTCCACAGTAATGACAGACGACTTCCAGAGAGTCTTCAACAAATCCAGTATCATTTGAAAGGTCTTTTCTCCAGTTGACTCCAAAACCAGCACAATGGCCTAAAACAAATCATGCAAGTGTTCTGACTAAAAAGAAAACAGTGGCTCAGGTACATGGTGTGTAAGTATATGAAGTGCAAAATGGAATGAATGCATTATTAGGCATTTTCTGGGGAAACAAGTCCATTTGTTACGTACACTCATAATGTCAGTTTATTATTATTATTATTATTTGAAAATGAAAACTGATGAAAAGTTCTTTACATAAGATAAAAGGTATGAAAAACCAGAAAGGACCAGACAGAGTGAGAACTATTACCTTTCTGTCTCTGGTTTCAGAATTACATGACTATATCCATATGGCTGCTGCAGTACAGATGGCATATAATTAATTTTGTGAAATTAATTTTGTATCCATAGGTTTTTTGTATCTGTGATTTCAGAAGAACTAAGAAGTTTAAAATCTATA